ATATGTTTATTACAAAGAAAAGTTAAAAAAATACTTTTTTAACGCAAGTAAACTTTGGGGATGGGTAATTATTGTGCAAAGGCAGGGCCGTACCCCAGCAGAGTTTGATGTAGAAACTGGGGCGCACTTCCAGTTGGGCAAGTAATACCGAATTAATTGTCAGTTGAGTTGCTGATAGGGCTAGATATCAGGGATACAGAGACGTGAAATAGGTTCACAGGACAGCATTTAGGTGTACAGGAAACCATATCTATATAAATCTAATTGTGTTGTTGTTTAACGTACTATATATGTCCTAAGCCAGGTTGGAAAACATCATAGATTGTTGAGTGTTGGTTTGTACTGTCTGTTTTTTTTTTTTTAATAAGGATAATGGTTAGGAAATTAGTAGAGTTAGTTGTTAGTAATTGAGACTTCTCATAATGGTGAACAATCCACCCCCTCAAAAGAGGCGTACGACCATTAAATCGCAAGTTAGTGGAATTTACGGTGATGACAGAACTCGAAACCTTAACCTCCGTCTCACCCAAACCCTAAAACTTGGGGGCAACCATTGGGCCACATGCTCGGTTGGCGGTTTGTACTGTCTGTTGTATTTTCATTTTTGAGCTGGTTGCTGTATTTTTCTTCTTAATCTTATCTTCTCTTGTTTGGGCCAAAAAAAGGAAAACATCATAGATTCAAGTGGGAACACCTGACAAGAAGTACCCTTCCTATCTTGCAAATAATGTGGAAAAGATTTTTCCAAACAAGAGGGATCAAAGGGTACAGACTTCCATTATTTTCCCCCTTTTTGCCCTCTTTTCCCCTCAATCCAATTAAACAAATATAATGTGCGATTTGGAGTAAGTGACAAAAGCAGCCATATGGACGCGCCGTCCTTCTCAAATAATACTAATATACTTATATCAGAGTAATTGCATATACATGTGATGCGGATCCTCCTACTATTGGAGTCCTACACAAATCCATATTATATCTTTGTTTTTCTTAATATAAAATCGGCGATGCTATATGTGTATAATGTTACCAAGGCAACGATTTTACATCATAACTCCCTCCTCTCTTGGCTATTATTTTCCTCTAGTCGGCATGGTCTCTATCCCCCCTTGGTGGTTAGGGAAGATGAGTAAAACTGGGATTATCTCACTTTATTTGAAAGTTTTATCTTTTAAAGAGATTTTATCATTCTTTTTGGGAGTTTTTACCTAATTTTTTTTTATAAAT